AGGAGTAGCGTGCAACTACAACGTCGTGTCAGAATAATATATAAATCTACATATTGTTTTGTAATTGCCTGTAGTGTAGACTAGTGTAGTTATATAATGTTATGTTTTGGTGGTGCACCTTTCATCTTGCCTATATGTACTGCTCGCTCTATAGTGAAACCACTCCTCTTCTCTTTTCAACTTTCTCGACTCTCCTAACTCAAACTCACTCGAACTTCTCACTAGCTATGGCTCCTTAGCCAAGCTAAGATTCTGACATGGTATCAGAGCGACAAGGTCCTGACCTGTGGGCCCCACTTTAATGCTTCCGCTGCTACTGAGTAACCTGCACGCCCCGTGGTGTGCCCTTCTGTCGCGGCCTCGCCGCCTCTCTACTGTCGCGGCCCCGCCGCCCTACGTCGCGGTCTCGCCGCCCTTCACTGCGGCCTCGCCGCCCGTGCGCCGCCCGTCCGTGAGCCGCCCGCCCGTGCGCCGCCCGCCCGTGAGCCGCCCGCCCGTGAGCCGGCGCCACCCGTGGGCCGCCCGCCCGTGCGCCGCCCGCCCGTGCGCCGCCCGCCCGTGAGCCGCCGCCTCTGAGCCGCCAGTCCGCGAGCCACCCGCCCGCCCGTGAGCCGCCCGTCTCCTACACCTGCGGTCCCGACCCCGTCCCGGCCATGCCTCGTCACCAGCTACGGCACACCGGGGGCACGTGCACCCCCCCCCCCCCTTCTTCCCGTCACCTGTCGCGGCTCCTTCGGGGGCCGTGACCTGAAAAGGGGGGGCAGTCGTCGCCCCCTCTGCCGCTTGCTTTGGCGCCCGGGGAGGCCGTGCGTCGCCCCCCCCCCCCCCCCCCCCCCCCCCCCCCTCTTCTCCTCCTCCTTTTGTTCCCTCTGCTGCAGCTGCCGCTGGGGGGGAGGGTGTGGGAGTGTGGGGGAGCCCGGGGAGGGACTGGGGGTGGCGGGTGTGGGGGTGATGGGTGATGTCTAGTCCCCTGGCCCTACGGCCCCATTCTCCTCCGTTTGCCCCCCCCCCCCCCCCCCTCTGCTGCTCCTGCAGCAGTGTGAGGGGGATGGGGAGGGGGAGGGGGAGGGTGAGGGGATGTAGAGGGTGACCAACCAGAGCCTACCACCTCCTCTCCTCTCTCTCCCTCTCTCTCTCCTCTCTCCCTTCTGTTCTCTGTTTTCTGCACTGGCTGTCACTGCTCCTGCCTACTGCTGCTACTTCAACTGCACTCTGCTTGGTGTACCCCATTATGGGGGCGTTGACTGCATATTCTTCCCTACAGGCACTTATGGGGGCGTGTCAGAATAATATATAAATCTATATATTGTTTTGTAATTGCCTGTAGTGTAGACTAGTGTAGTTATATAATGTTCTGTTTTGGTGGTGCACCTTTCATCTTGCCTATATGTACTGCTCGCTCTATAGTGAAACCACTCCTCTTCTCTTTTCAACTTTCTCGACTCTCCTAACTCAAACTCACTCGAACTTCTCACTAGCTGTGGCTCCTTAGCCAAGCTAAGATTCTGACACGTCGTACATGGTCTGAGCACTCTTGTACTGGCTAAAGTGCGCACGCTCAGAGGTAGGTAGGTGGCGACGCACAGCAAGATGTGCAACAGCATCACGTGTGGCCCACTGTGAGCGAACAGTGGTGTCAGTATCAGCAGTAGGGGCAGGAGAGGCGCCAGAGGTAAGGTCAAAGAGGGAGAGACCGTCTGCCCTATCGCACTGTAGGAAAAGCTGCAGATCATCTAGCCAGACGTCAAAGTCAATAGCCCAACCCTCAGCGTCAAAAGCGAGGACACTAGGGGTAGCCATGACTGTAGTAGACTAGCAGCGCGAAGAGTAGGGTAGGGGCAGTGCAGTAATAGCGGCGCTGCTCTTACCGGACAGGGCGGCTCGGGCGGCTCGGCGCCTCGGTTGCTCGGCGGCTCGGCAACAACTGCGGCTCGGCGACTCGGCGGCACAGGTAGCTCGGCGACTCGGGCGGCTCGGGCGGCTCGGGCGGCTTTGGCGACTCGGCGGCTCGGGCGGCTCAGGCGGCTCGGGCGCTTGGGCGGCTCGGCGACACGGCAGCTCGGGCGGCTCGGCGTGGTGCGGCGGCTCGGGCGGCTCGGGTGGCGGGCGGCTCGGCAGCAGGTGGCGGCGCCGGCGGCTCGGTGGTGACGGCGGAGCCGCGTGGGGACAGCGGCGGGGCCGGCAGAGGCGGCACCGGGACCGCAAAGGTAGGCGACGGGGCCGGGAAGGGGAGCGCCGGGGCCGCAGGTAGGCGACGGGACCAGCAGAGGCGGTTCTGGGTCGGGAAGGGCGGCGCCAAGGCCGGGAAGGGCGGCGCCGGGGCCGCGGGGTAGGCGACGGGGCCGCAGGGCGGCGGATCGGGTCTGGGAAGGGCAGCGCCAAGGCCGCGGGGTAGGCGATGGGGTCGCAGGGCGGCGGATCGGGGCCGGGAAGGGCGGCGCCAGGGCCGCGGGGTAGGCGACGGGGTCGCAGGGCGGCGGATCGAGGCCGGGAAGGGCGGCGCCGGGGCTGCTGAGGTAGGCGATGGGGCCGCTAGGGCGGCGGATCGGGGCCGCAAGGGCGGCTCGACGCAGCCGCTAGGGCGGCGCGACGGGATCGAGAGAGGGGAGCGCGACTCGGGCAAGGGGTGAGTGCGCTCCGGGCAGGAAAAAAAATATATCGAATCGGTGGGCCCTAGGAACAGTTCCCACGAGGGATCCTGCTCGATACCATGAGAAAACTATAGCGAGAATAAATTGGACTATGCAAGAGTTGGTACAAGTACTAACCCTAATTGGGTTGTACCCCTTATGGGCTACCACACTATAGCCTACACAAAATGCATAAGCTATGATGTTCTGACATGCAGATCTCCCGGGACAGAGCACAGCGCACCATTACCCTGACTCAGTCACACATGGTGCAGCAGGTCCTTCAGCGCTTCGACTTCACGTACTCCTCGCCTCAGGCCACTCCTCTATCTACTCGCCACTCGCTCTCAGCTCTGCCTTCGGATGAGTCCGTAGAGCCGAGTGGCCCGTACCCAGAGCTTGTTGGCTGCCTCATGTACCAGCACTCGACCTGACCTTGCATACCCTCTTAGCATCCTCGCATGCTATGTTGCTCCTGGGAGACACCGACCAGAGCACATGGCTACAGCGAAGAGGGTGTTGCGCTACTTGTGCAGTACGTCGGGCATGGGGCTAGTGCTTGGAGGGCGACGTCCAGTGGTCCTCACTGGTCACGCAGACGCTTCTTGGGCTGACGACCAGGCTACGCAGCGGTCGTTACAGGGTTACACCTTCAGCCTTGGCTCCGGCTCTGTTTCGTGGCGGTCTACCCGCTCGTCTTCTGTTCTCGGCTCCAGTTGTGAGGCTGAGATCTACGCGAGGGCCATGGCTGCACAGGAGCTACGCTGGCTCACCTACCTGCTGACTGACCTAGGAGAGCCGCCTCGTTCTCCCCCAGTTCTGTACGTAGACAACAAGGCCATGCTAGCCTTGTGTCGGGAGCACAGACTGGAGCACAGAACGAAGCACATTGCTCTCCGCTACTTCCTTGCTCGTGAGCTGCAGCAGCGTGGTCAGCTGCGCCTTGCTTACGTGGCCTCTGAGGCCAACACTGCTGATATCTTTACCAAGGCATTTGCGCCTGGTGATCATCAGCGCTTCTGTACGATGCTAGGTCTTGTGCCTACTTGGCCTCACTTGCTCACTTCTTGACCTTGCTTGTACTGTGATCTTTCTATACCTGCACTTGCTTGTTTACCTTTATATATGATCTTGCATGTGAACTGGCCTTTTGGCCTTGCTCTTGTGCTCGGATTGTGTGGTGACGTTGTGATCCACCCTGAGCTTGCTTTGCTTTGCTTAACTGGTCTTGTGACCTCTTGTTCTCCCCCACTTTGCCTATGGGGGTGTGTCAAACTCATATGCTATAGTCTGTGTAGGCTGTAGTGGGGTAGACAATATGGGGTACAACACTTCTATGTTTTCCTACTTGTACTCACCTGCTTGCTAGTTCATTCATTCCTTATTCTTCACAGGACTACCCTGACGAATTAGCGTATAGGTGTACCAGTGACAATGAACCATCAGTATAGTACACTGAGTCACACTGATTCGGACTTACCAAGACATGGAGTGCGCGGACGTGGGATTAGGCCGAAAACCACTGCCACGCACTAGTAAGCCTCTCACTCACGGGACTTGAACCCGTGACCTCTCTAACAACAGGACGAAGCCTCAGACAGCTACGTTAGAAATACTGATTACGAAGTTCAAACTTAATTCCTACACTTATAAATCAGTTAACCATGAAATTTTACTCTGACAAAATCAGCATAAACTTCACCCCCAACGCTGATTTGGTCACTACTTTGGGCAGAGCACGTTGATCCATCAGCATGCCCTGAAACCAATCTGAGGGCCTGGCACTAAGGTGTCAAACGAGTACGAAATGTGAGCGAAGGCATGAGCGAACATTTATACGCGAAACATGCAAACGGTAACGTGGTGCGTGCGAGCTAGCTAGTGCTATGCTGGAAGCGAGGTTCGGGCTAGTCCCGAAGCGTAGGCCGATACTGCCAGGCCAGCAGTGCGAGGTTTGGTGAAACAGTGCGCGCGAAGTCGGCGAAGCCCCGTTAGCAGTAACGGGCGAACAACGGCTGCTATTGTACGCGATGTTGCAAGGCGCGCTAAGGAATATCGAGAAAATTCCTTGTAGTTTCCTAAACGATTGGAGAAGGTCTGAGGAGCCTATTACGACAATCGCAATAGAAAAGAAACTCGTCATTGTCATTCTGTTGTAGAAATTGTGGACAGGTGTAAAATGGTCTTACTGCCATACCACAAAACTTTCTAGCAGAAAGTTATCTGTAGCAGAAAATTAGGTTTGAAAAAATGCTTCATTTTCTTGTTGCAGTATTTTCATTATGACTTACTGCATCATTCATATCCAACAAAACCCCCTCATCCCCCCTTTGTAAGCGCGTATGAACCATATCAATCACCCGAGCCACACTAGGCAAATCCACCACCGCAGGAGAAGAGCAATTCCCCTGAGCAAGCAGCAGGTGGTATGCGATAGAACAGGCGGCAGCAAGTGGGTGGAAGACGGTGATGTGACAGTCCCTCGGGCGCATCTCGAGCAGCGCGGCCCCCTCGGGCATGAATATGGTGTTGGTGAGCGCTGCTCCGTGCACCCCCAGGAGGAAGCGGGTCCGATGGAACAACGACCGGGCTGAGGGGATGGGTTGAAGACGGGGGCAAAGGGGGAGGCAGGGAGGAGGAGGAGCAGGGGAAGCAGGGGAAGTAGAGGGGAGGAGGGGAAAGAGGGGGATTGGGTGGAGGAAGGGAACCAGGGAAAGTGAAGACAAGAGGAGAGGGGGGGTTTCAGGATAAGCCACCAACGGTTGTGTACAGTATGAGAGATATGATTTGATGTTGCCTGTCAAACCCTTCGCTAGTTGTTTGTACTTGCTGGGAAAGAGCAACGTGCCATGGAGGTGGATAGTGACAAAAAAGGCAGTCATGGATTAGAAAACAAGGACATGAATAGCCAGCGCTGCATTGCATTGTTGCACTCATGAACAGGCAAGAACAAAACATTGCCACAGCCATGCAACCGCAGGCGAATTGGGATCACCTTCCCCAATTCAACACACCTTGCAGAATGGGCATCGAGCCGTCAAACACCACCACCCTCTCTCGCCCAAACCGCTGCACCAGCATGGCCTCCACCTCGCCTTTATTCACCAGCGCCCTCGCCCCGCCCTCCGGCCGACTCGCCAGCACCACCAGCCAGTCGGGTGGGAAGGCGCGCGCCTCAGAGGCAGAGAGGGGGGCATAATGTTGACGGTAGGTCCAGTCACGGTTGAAGAGAGGGAGGCCAGAGGGGTGGAGGAGGTGGCGCCTGCGCAGGAGTTGCCAGAGCGACGGGCTGGGACGGTCGCAGTCTTGGTATATGGGCTGGTGGGGGAGGGAGGTGGCGGAGGTGGGGGAGGTGGGGGAGGAAAGGGGAAGGGGGTTGAAGAGGGGGGGACAGGTGGGTGCAGCAGGTGGCGGCGCCTTGGGAGTTGCCAGAGCGACGGGCTGGGATGGCCGCAGTCCTGTTATATGGGCTGGAGGGAGGGGAGGAAGTTGGGGGGGGGGGGGAGGTTGGGGGGGGGGAAGAAAGGGAGGTGGGGGGGGGGGAAGGAGGTTGAAGATGGGGATTCTGGCGAGGTGGAGGAGGTGGGTGCGCCGCAGCAACAGCCAGAGAGACCGGTGGGACGGTCGCAGCCCTGGTATATGGACTGGTGGAGAGGGAAGCAGGGGGTCAAGTGGGGAAGAAATGGGAGAGGTGGGGGAGGAGAGGGGTTTGAAGAGGGGGAGGCCAGTGGGGTGCAGGAGGTGGCGGCGCTGCAGCAGCTGCCAGAGTGAATGGCTGGGATGGTCGCCGTAGATGGGCTGGTGAGGAGGGCGGGTGAGGGGGGTGTTGGGGAGGGGAAGAAATGGGAGGGGTGAGGGAGAAAGGCGGGTTGAAGAGGGGTGCAGCAGGTGGGTACTGCGCAGCAATTGCCAGCGGGAGGGGCAGGGATGGTCGCAGTCTTTGTATGCAGGGTGGGGGGAGGGCGGTTGGGGATGCAGGAAGTCGTGCTTGAGAGCATGGTGTGGGTGGAGAAGCAGAGCTCAGTAGCCAGGTTATGTGGTAACCGCGTTACCAGTTACAGCACATCAATGTGGATGAGGTCATTGAAGTAAATGGGCAGCACAATATTGAGACAAGCTCATTTAAAGTACATTACCTGGTAACGCGTTACCTAGGTAATCACATTACATGGACAGCACGTCAACGTGGGTGGATGAGGTCATTGAAATAGATGGGCAGCATCAGAGAGTAAGTATGTTACAGAAATCACCACAAACTCATATGTAAGCAAATTTCGTAATAACCACGTTACGTGGTAACCGCGTTACCTGGTAAAGCACGTCGACATGAATGAGGTCATTGAAATAGATGGGCAGCATGCGCATGGTGTCTCGCTCTATTCCCATTAGAGGTGCCGCCCACTTGTCGTAGTACAGCCACTGAGCGAGAGGGACACACGCACAGGGGAGAGAAGGAATAGTTTGAGAGAGAAAGGGGGGAGGTCAAGATTGTAGATGGGCAGATTGCGCATGGTGTCTCGCTCTATGCCCAGTACAGGTGCCTTTTGAGGCGCCTCAATAGAGGGGCCGCCCACTTGTCGTAGTACAGCCACTGATGGGTGCATGGAGAGGCGAGAGGAAGGAGTTAGGGAGAGGAAGAGGGGAGGTCAAGGGTGTGTTTAGATAACATGCGCATGTTGTCTCGCTGCAGAGCCAGAGGAGACACCGCCCACTTATCGCAGTACAGCCACTGAGAGAGGGAGGCGGGCGATGCACACACGCACGCACAGGAGGGAAAGAACGGCGAGATACTGAGGGACGGAGTTAAAAACAGAACTGCAGTACGAGAGAAAGAAGAGACAGACGGCGAAGCCAGTGAGCGAGCAGCGATTAAGACCGTGTGAGGAGTGGATGAAGCAACAATGAGGGCTGTCTCCCACACAGTCAGAGGCATTGTGTGAACTGGAGCAATCTGTGAGCGACTAGTGAAAGAATCAAGCCCATGCAACTTCCTGGAATCCACCTGGGGTTTCCTGAGGATTATCGGCAGCGTTCTGAGCGTGGGCATGAGGGGAGCGACGACGAGGAAGAGCGGGACGAGCTCGACAGTAAAGTGGAAGAAGTTCTTGCCCATCAGGTGCGCCCAGTTGAACGCCGCTCCCTGCACGTGCTGCGCCATGTGCCCTTGCTTGTACCTGGTCTGGGGGTAGAAGGGGCAAAGGTGGGATGGGGGTGGGTTTGGCCGCATGAAGAATGTGGCGTTCTGTATGGCAGTGGGTGCCATTGCACGTTGCTGGGGTGGGGGCACGGCACGGCACGGCACGGCACGGGATGAGCAACGAAGGGGCACGAGTTCTTGAACCTGACGTGCGCCCGGTTGAATGCTCGTACATGCATAGTGCATGCATCATATTCCATGCGTAATGCATGATTTATCTTGCATAGCATACTGCGTGTTCCATACTGCAAGAGCATACAGTGTATGACTTTCTGTATAGTGCACTATAATGCATCCTAATGCATTATAATGTAATATAATGCATACAGCATATTACATTACATTCTCAACACTGCATGACTCATGTCAGCCCTTACCATCAGCTCTCCCACTCCCCATCACCTGCCTCTCAGAACCGTTGGCACGCACTTCTTCTTGCATCCCCTCGCCTATCTTGAAACGTCTCACAACTCCCCTGTCCTGTCCTACCTTACCCTCCCACAACCCTTTCCCTCGCCTTCCTTCCCACGCCCCTCACCTACCCCTTCCCCTCCCACACCCCGCACCCAACGCTGACCCTCCCACACCTTTCACCTTTCTCCAGAACCGTCGGCACCCGTTGCGCACGAACACATGGGATTGGTTGACAGCGAATCCATTGTCCGTCACAAACACATCCTCCAGCCGCATCACCTGCAGCACCGCCCGCCCAATAGGAAACGAGTGTAAGAAACGACAACGAATTCTGAGGCACATCAATAGAGGTTGACAGCAAAGCCGTTGTCCGTCACAAACACGTCCTCCAGCCGCATCACCTGCAGTGTCGCCCACCCAATAGAAACATAGCAGGTGAAGACACGTTTGTTAAGGCGCCACCATGTAAGAAACGACTTTCGAGGCGCCTCTAAAGACATTGACAGGTAAGTCAATCATCTGGAGGACAAACACGTTGGTCCTCCCAATGGGAGCACTCCGGGTCAAACTCCCCTCCCCCCTCCTCCTCCCCCTCCCTCCCCCGCTCCCCCTCCCCTTCCCTCCCCCTCTCTCCCTCTTGAGGATTCGCAACAGAGACTCTCAAATACCTGCAGCGCCGACCCCCCGTGCGATGTGAAGTCCTCCCGATGGGAGCACTCCGGGTCAAACTCCCCTCTCCCACTCTCCCCGCCACTGGTGCCCTTAAAGGGGCAGTTTATAGGGGGAATGGGTGTGTCCTCAGGTTCATCAACCAGGTGGGGGTTCCAGCAGGCCTGCACGTTGGGGAAGCGCGCCGAGCAGGCGCCAAAGGAGGGGCAGGGCGGGCCGTGGCAGGCGAGAAGGAGAGGGCTCCTGGGGTCCGAGGGCGGAGGGTGGCGGGGTAGGTGTTCGAAGTAACCCATCATTATGTTGGGTAGATGAGTGAGGTCCAGGGGGAAGTCAAGCGGGTGAATTTTCAGGGCGGATCGCTCAGGGTGGTTCCTGTGGGTGGTTGAGGGGAACGAGAGAGGGGGGCGAGAGGGGTGAGTGAGAAGCAAAGGGGAGTGCGAGAAGAGACATGCGTATTCAGCTCTCTCCCACATTAGATTTCTGCTTTAGCAGCACGGATTAAACTGTAACGGCGTTGGCATGTAGCAATATAGCTGATCTCGAAGTCATCTATAACTGTTTTTTTATGTTATCTCCAACAGCCCTGTAGATCACTGCCACGTGGCAGCTGAAATCGGCTTGCAACTCACCCAGTAAGAAACGAAATTTGTTCTACGACAACACCATGAAACCCTAAAATAGCTGTAACGGAATCACTTTAAAACTCTTGGAAAGTGCTATCACTTTGGAAAGCTGTAACGAAACCGGAAGCGAGAAATCTAGAAAGCAAAACTCGTATACAGGCTGAGGCATCAGGAGTCGACCTGTAAAGCGAGGGCACGTGGTAGTTGAGAGCGCCCTCGAACTCCGCCACTCTGCCCTCCACGTGGACCCGCGGCGCTGGAGAATCGCTCTGAACGCTGGCGCCTAGGGATTCACGGAGGATAAACAGGATTATGAGGATAGACGGGATTCGGGTGAATAAGGGGAATAAGGAGGAGTACGGGAACTCGAAAGAGGGGGAACGAGCAGGGAAAGAGGGGGGGCATAGTCTATAGCTAGAGAACGTCGTAGTTGGAAAGGTGCGTCCGCAATTCCGGTTCGAATCAAACTGGATGATATCGCTACGTTGGTCACTTGTTACACAGGGCCGGATCGTCGCCCCTACGAGTCGCGGATCGAAACACGGCGTATGTCGCGCATCTGAAAACGATACCCTTTTTACGCCAAGCCCCAGCAGCCGCAGCAGTGCGACTTTTGAGACGTCAAAATAATTGTCTACTAAAAGACGCGACGAGCCTCGTGCTGAACAGCGGTCTTGCATACTTTCGTTAGCGCTTGGCACGGCGCTGACGTGGACCGCCGAGGACAGCACGATCGTCAGCCATAACCATCGTGGACGGTCGGCAGCTTCTCGCAGCGCCATGGCAGCGCGTCGAACGGAGAAGCGTCGCAGGAAATACAGCTATGGATTAACTTGAATGCAAGAGCTCCAACACATCATTTCTCATTTCCTATGCACCACGTGTTCGAGCAACGAGACTTGAAAACTTGGTACGACCGTGCGGGTGTATCCACGGGCTACGACAATGGGCGTTACCATTGTGACACACAACTCTGGCTGTAAGGCACACCAGCAGCAATCAGCAAATTCCCACACCACCATTACTGCGCTCCGTCGGTGTGGCGTGCGTGAGCGATGAAGAAATGAAGCGGAGCGGGAAGGGGGAGAGCGGATGGCTACCCGTCCCAGCAAGCCCTGCCTGTGCCGTGTCAAGTGAAGGGCTTGGGCCTCGGGGGAATGTTGCGGGAGAGGGGCAAATGTCAATTTTACGCGCTATTTGTGAACGCGTTAATTGTTTTAGAGAAAATTATGTGAATGGTAACTTACATGGGGCACTGTAACGCGTACGAAAACGATTTCATCGCGTTTGGTAACCCGCTTAACGTACTTGGTAACTCGCTTAACGCGTTTGGTAACTAGCTTAACACGTTAGGTAACTATACACTAGCAGCCCATCACGCGAATGGTAACTTTGATGAAATCAGCTCTGACATGACCCTGATTTGACGGTTTCCCGCTCGCGCCAAACCAATCCACGAGTTGTGATGCACCCACGTCCTCCTGAACCACGTTCGCCACTCAACCGAACCAGAACCAAGCGTGTTGTACACCGCGTGCACACTAAGAACAACCCAACCTGCAAAGCTACAAGTTTCCCGTGGCCCCACCAGATAGCTCCCCGTCATCCTGCTCTAGCCCTATCACTCTCGACACTAACTTAGTAAGGACTTCTTAGCAGACTTATTACCCCCCATCAAATTCACGGAAGCTCGAATTACAGCTGATCCGTCCAGAGGTGCGTCTCTCTCCCTTTCTCTTCCCTATATGCTGAACCTACTCGAATCTATCCATTCTTCAAAATTCTGAATGATTGCCGCTGGGCGCATAGCGCCTGTCTCGCGGCCAGCGCTATGCGCCCAGCGGAATGCTCGCCGCTGTGCGCATAGCGCGCATCTCGCGGCCAGCGCTATGCGCCAGCGGAATACTCGCCGCTGGGCGGATAGCGCGCATCTCACGGCCAGCGCTATGCGCCCATCGGAATGCTCGCCGCTGGGCGCGTAGCGCGCATCTCGCGGCCAGCGCTATGCGCCAAGCTATGCGCATTCCGCCTCTCTCGCGGCCAGCAATGCGCTCAGCGGATTTCTCACTGCTGGGCGCATTGCGCCTCTCTCGCGGCCAGCAATGCGCTCAGCGGATTACTCACCGCTGGGCGCATTGCGCCTCTCTCGCGGCCAGCAATGCGCTCAGCGGATTGCTCACCGCTGGGCGCATTGCGCCTCTCTCGCGGCCAGCAATGCGCTCAGCGGATTGCTCACCGCTGGGCGCATTGCGCCTCTCTCGCGGCCAGCAATGCGCTCAGCGGATTGCTCACCGCTGGGCGCATTGCGCCTCTCTCGCGGCCAGCAATGCGCTCAGCGGATCGCTCACCGCTGGGCGCATTGCGCCTCTCTCGCGGCCAGCAATGCGTTCAGCGGATCGCTCACCACTGGGCGCATTGCGCCTCTCTCGCGGCCAGCAATGCGCTCAGCGGATCGCTTACCGCTGGGCGCATTGCGCCTCTCTCGCGGCCAGCAATGCGCTCAGCGGATCGCTCACCGCTGGGCGCATTGCGCCTCTCTCGCGGCCAGCAATGCGCTCAGCGGATTGCTCACCGCTGGGCGCATTGCGCCTCTCTCGCCCTGGCAATGCGCTCAGCGGATTGCTCACCGCTGGGCGCATTGCGCCTCTCTCGCGGCCAGCGCTATGCGCTCAGCGGTGACCTCACCCTTTCCTTGCTATTACTCAACCCCGCCACTCTCTCTCTCTCTCTCTCTCTCTCTCTCTCTCTCTCTCTCTCTCTCTCTCTCTCTCTCTCTCTCTCTCTCTCCCTCTCTCTCTCTCTCTCTCTCTCTCTCTCTCTCTCTCTCTCTCTCTCTCTCTCTCCTCTCTCTCCCCCCTCTCCCTCCCCACCGGTACTACGGCAGGTGTTTGCAAGCTTCTTCGCCCCACAGCCATTCCGCTTTGAGCCATATGACCTACTCACCAACATCGTCAAGGTGCGCCCACTCCCTCACTTCACTTTACTTGAACTGCCCTGCCCTTGATGACTTCCAGAAACATGTGACTGCTCCCCCGTGGGGGCTCACCGCTCACCACTCACTGCACTTCAACTTTTCTGCCTTGGGCGTCTCTCACTTCCAATATCACCACCTGTCCCTTTGAGCCCTTGACCTGTCCCCATCCTCGTCCCCCGTTGCCTCTTCCCTCAACTCGCCCTCACTCAAACGTTCCTCCTAATATTATCCCTTCTCCTGCTACTGCTCCTCCTGTTCCTCCTCCTCCTCCTGCTCCTCCTCTTCGTCTTCCCAAACCCTTCTCTGTTTACTCCCTCGCCCCCGTCACCTCTCATTCTTCCACTTCTTCATCTTCGCTCTCCATCCTACCGTCAACTTCCATCCTCACTCCCTTCCTCACTACCTTCCTCACTACCAGCATGCATCTCGGCCCATTGTCTCTCCCTCTCTTCCTCCGCACTCTCTCCCTCACGTTCCCCCTCACTCTCCCCTCTCTCCATCTCCTCATCCTCGTCTCTCACACTCCCCTCCTCTTCCCCGTCCCTCAGAATCTCCCACTGCCTCTCTCTCTCCTCTTCTTCACCCCTAGACCCCTCACTCCCCCTCTCACTTCCCTCCTCACTCCTCCTCTCACTTCCCTCCTCACTCCCCCTCTCATCCTCGTACCTACCCCTCCCCCACCAGCCCGTCCCACCCTTCCCTCCTCCCACTCCCCAAAAACTCTCCCCTCCAACTCCCCTGAGGCGACAACTCAGGCGTCAAAACCCCTTCCCTCTCCCCCTTGTCTTTCCAGCTCCCTTGTCAAATCCCCCTCCCTCTGATGCAACTCAATTACAGACCCTTCCCCTTCCGACCCTTCCCTTTCTCGCTCCCTGACATGTCCCCCCTCCAACTGCCTTGAGGGGTTAGCACAGGTGTCCAAACCCCCTCCCCCTCTTCCTCCCTCTCCCTCTGTGCCTCTTCTCCCCAGTCCCCGCTTCCTTGGGGGGTAATCTCCCCTTCACCCCTCCAAACCGGGGTAAGTTCCCCTTCGCCCCCCCATCTGCCCAGGGGAGTTAACGCATCATCACCCCTGAAACTACCCAGAAGGGTGACGTCATTACCCCTCCAGCTCCTCTGGGGTGTAAGCTCTGGAGCCAAAACTCCCGCCGAACCACGGTCACTGCCAAGCCCCTGTCCGAACCTGACCACTCCTCATTCTCCCGCTGCTCACTATGATCGTCACTATGCTCGCTACACTCACCATCTCCCTCCTCCTCATCCTCCTCTGCTTCATCATTAGGCCTACCAACATCCACCACCATACCAGACCCCCTTCGGCCCACCAAACCTGAACCTAATCGGCCACTAAGGCCCCCCATCAACCCCACCCTCTTGCTCTCCTCACTCCGCTTCCTCTCCTCGCCTTCCTCCCCATCCTCCATCTCAACCGCACTCAACCCCCTCCGCTGCTCCCTGTCCCCTTCCATCTCCGGAACCCAATCACTCCCTGAACCCGTCCCCTCATCTGATTCTCTATATGCAGCCCATACCCTCCACTCCTGGTCCGCCCTTTCCTCTATCTCTCGCGCCTCTCTCGCGGCCAGCGCTATGCGCTTGCGGAATGCTCGCTCCCCATCAGACGCTGTCTTCTCCCCTGTTCTTCACCCTCATCCCCTGTCACTTACCCTTTCATCCCCTCGTATGCCCTTCATTGTCATAACCCCTGTCCCACCTCTCATCCTGGTTCCTGTCCTCGCTCCCATACCCCTACCCCTGTTCCATCTCTTTCCCCTACCACTCCACCACCCTCCGAATCACAGCGCGCAGCGCCTGGCGGTGCTGTTCATGTGCATTCTGAGCCACGTGCGGCGGGGCAACCCCAACGTCAACAGGAACCTGGTGGAGTCGCTCTACTGCAGCTAGTTTCCAGGTACCCTCCCTCTCTCTCTCTCTCTCTCTCTCTCTCTCTCTCTCTCTCTCTCTCTCTCTCTCTCTCTCTCTCTCTCTCTCTCTTTGTGGTGTAACCCTCACGATTGCCTCGTTGCCATTTTCCAAAAACCTATCGACTCACTCTCTCCCTTTCCACTCCCTCACGCTTGTCTCGCACCCTACTCTGATTTTGGGGCCTTGCCATTCTCTGCTACGTAACCGTCACGATTGTCTCGCTACCTACCTGCATTTTCGTCCCCACTCTCCCTCTCTCTGCTGCACGGACACACATGTTCGCACCCTACTCGAATTTCCCCTGCCCTGCCTCTCTTTGTTGCGTAACCCTACGCGCAACGCGATACCGCTGGGCGAGTTCGCTCTCTCATCCCCTCCCGCTATTTCTCAAACCCAAAAATTCTATCTACCCTGCCCTCTCCATCTTCTGCGCACTAGTCATGATTGTCTCGCTGTGCACTTGCATTACCCTCCCCACACTCTCTCACGCTAGTATCCCATCCTACTCCGATTTCCCCCCCCCCTCCCTCCTTCCTCTCTCTGCTGCATAATTCCCTATCTCCCCTCTTGCAGGGCCAGGGTCCAGCCTCTGGCATCATGTTTCGCCTACTGCGTTCCAGGTACGAACCCGTTTCCCAACGCAATAGTTATCACGTCTCGTGTTATTTTGTTGTGTTCCAGCGTATGCTAGCAACACCAATACTACAACTTATGCACTCGAGGTGTTTTGTGTATGTCTCTCCTCTCATTCTTTTGCAACCCCAGTACCTTTGAGATGTAGGAGAATGATGCAGTCAACATCCACCTAGGGAAAGTCTATCCTACTGCAGACGCGGTGAGGGCAGATGTGCGGCTGTACTGTCGGCAACAGATGGTATCTTCGTACTTTCATTACAATCGTAGCAATCTCATTGAGGTGCGATGCAAGAGTATGCAGGGGAAGGGTTGGCCCAAACGTGAGGTGAGTAGTGACGCCGGGCTATGCCCTTTTCGTATCATCGTTCGAGGGCCTGTTTGCGATAACCTCAGAGTCACGACAGCTCATTTGGAGCATGCGGATAGGTGTACAGTCGGTGCAGCTAGGGTCCAACGAGAAGAGGTGATAGAGGTTGCATGTGAGATGAGAATGCACGGCGAGGTTAGACCGGCAGCGTTGATGAGCCGTGTTCATCAGGTGCTGGGTGTGCAGTGTTCTTATACTCTCGCACGGGAGGTGCTTTGGGAGTTGAGTGATGATGAGCTTTTTGGGGGAGATAAAGGATTCGAGTACATGGAGGACCTGCTGAGAAAGTTTGAGGTCGAAAACCCGTCGTGTAAAGTGTCATTGGTGAGGCAGGGTAACAACTTCTATCGGGCCGGTGTCATCTATCCAGGTGCCAAGGAGTCTGGTATGAACTGTTTGCCTATCTTTTTTGCAGATGGTTGTCATAATAAGACGAGATGGGGGGGTTACACTTTGAACATTTGCATGCTGGACAGTCAACACCAGCTTGTTAGGTTGGGGTGTGCGTGGGTCGAGGGTGAGAACAAGCAGTCGTGTACCTTTCTCTTTCAACTCTTGCTAGAGGTAGTACCGGAGGTGAACTCCCCCGATTTTGTGATTATGCATGATAGGGGAGGTGCATGGAAGTCGGCGACAGCAGCTTGTCTCCCCCTAATACGGGAGTCATATTGCATCACTCATTTGGTGCGCAATTTCAAAAACAAGTTTCGGACAGACTTGGATGGGAGGATCCTCGCAGCTGCAGCGGCTCTTACTCCGGGGGTTTACCACAAAACGATGGAGAAAATCGAGCAAGAATGCCCTGGTGGGAAGGCATATCTTGTTGACAACAATTTGCATAAGAAGTGGGCCTCGGCGCACTTTGGTGCTCCGTGTTTTGGCTGCATGACCTCCAATCCCGTTGAGTCACACCACGCATCACTCTCAGGGCTGCGTGACAAAAGTCCCCCTCAAGTGTTGCACCTCTTGACGGCCAAGCTCTCAAAGAGTAAAAGAGGCGCCTCGAGTACTCACAACTCACTGGTGCGGTCTTCCCGCCAAGGACACGACCAATTATCAAGGCAAACTGCAACGAAGGGAAGAGATACGATGCTGAAGGGTCCGGCGAGAACCGTTTCATTGTGAGCCGAGGAGAGGGGGAGCTGAAGGTGGAATCGAGAGTCGTGACTACTAACCCCAACAATCCTTCAGCAACCAGCTGCACGTGTGGTTACACCAGGTAAGACATGGGAGCCCAGCAAGAGCAAGGGGTGCAATAAGTAGGGCAGGCAGCAAGGGAATGGGGGCAGCAAGGTTTGGGGAGCACCAGGGAATGTGAAGACAGCATGGGGGCGGGGGGGGGGGGGGGGATCTTGCAGGGCATCAAGGGAGATGGGGGCAGCAAGAAATGGGGTCAGCAAGGAAGGGCATAGGAGGGCAACAATGGAAAGTGAGGCAGTAGGAGAGGGGGTCAGATCGATGGAGGGAGGGATATTGTGCCAAACAACACGGGCTGGATCAGCAAGCGAATGTAAGGCAGCATGCGAAAGGGGGACGACGACATAAGGGGGGGCAGCAAGGGAAAAAGTGGTGGCCATGGATGGGAGGGACTGTATGCCACATATGGGACTGTTTCTTTACGTCTACAGCTTGAGCGCATGACTATGTGTATGTGTTTCTTTGACCAATCATTTCAATAACCAACCATCCTATTCCACAACACCAATACCCCCATACCCCAATAACAGGGAGTATGGGCTGCCGTGCGTCCACATTTTTGCTGTGTTCAAGAATGCAGGGCACAAGGCCCACGCTGTGATACACAACAGCCACACGGTTTCGGCGCTGCAGCAGGTGTACAAGACCCCGATTCGGACCCTCGACCCCACGTCAGTGATCCCGGATGGCATTACTCTACCGCCAGTCTACTCCAAAAGGGCAGGCCGGCCAAAAAAGAACAGGATTTGCTCGACAAGAGAGGTCGACCCTATCAAACTACGCAAGTGTGGCAAATGTGGTGAGATGGGGCATAACTCTATGACATGTGAGGTCCGGGCTACAAACCGGGTGTTGTGGGAGGCATTACAAACCCCAGCAGGGCAATTGGCTGTGCAGACGATGACCACGGCGGACGGTGCGGTACATGTAGCCCCTTGTAGCGCATGTAACCGAAGTCATCGGAGAGGTATTCGTTGTATCCATACCACTGGTGAGAGTGACGATGAGAGCGAACCGGACGAGGAGTCGGGCAGCGGGGAAGATGAGGGGGATGGAGAGGAGAATGGGAGCACACCGGCAGATTCGGTGTTGACGGAAATATTTGGGAGGGTGCTTGTACCTGCCGGGGATCTCCCTCCCGAAACAGTGATGGATGATATGGGGGCCGGTTCCGAAGGGTTGCACTTGGGTGGTGCGCAAGGAAGTAGTACTGGTGAGGGAACTTCAAAGGGGGGTGGCCTGAGGAGTGCGGACGACGTGGTTCGGGGGTGATTACGGAGGTCGCAATGTCTCAACATACAGAGGGAAGTGGTGGGGCACGTAGGCGACGACGATGTGCATGTGGGGCATTCGGAGGAAGGGCGTGGACGAGGTAGAAATCAACGGGGAAGGGGTGGAGGGAGAGGTAGAGGCAGGTCCGGGGTGGTGTCTTCCACAGAAGAAGGAGGAGGCGCAGATTGTTTGGAAGGTCCTGATAGGGGAGGGCGCCAAAGAAGGGGAGGGCAGCAAGGGAGAGGAGGGAGGCAAGGAAGGGGAGGGCAGCAAGGGAGAGGAGGGAGGCAAGGAAGGGGAGGGCAGCAAGGGAGGGATGGGCAGGAGGAAACGGGAGGGCTTCAAGGGTTGGAAGGGCAGCCGGGAATGCAAGGGCAGCATGGCACGTGTGGGCAGCAGGGAATGGGGGGACCACTGGGAATGGGTTGGCAGCAGGGAATGGAAGGGCCACATGGAATGGGTTGGCAGGAGGGAATGGGGGGGGCACTGGGAATGGGTTGGCAGCAGGGAATGGGGGGGCCAGATTGTTTGGGAGGGCAGCAGGGAATGGACGAGCAGCAGGGAATGGGAGGGCTGCAGAGAATGAGAGAGCCGCAGACATTGGGAGGGCCACAGGGAATGGGAGGGCCACAGGGAATGGGAGGGGCACAGGGAATGGGAGGGGCACAGGGAATGGGAGGGGCACAGGGAATGGGAGGGGCGCAGGGAATGGGCGGGCAGCAGAGAATGGTTGGGCGGCAGAGAATGGGAGAGCCGCAGATATTGGGAGGGCCACAGGGAATGGGAGGGCCACAGGGAATGGGAGGGCCACAGGGAATGGGAGGGCCACAGGGAATGGGAGGGCCACAGGGAATGGGAGGGCCACAGGGAATGGGAGGGGCACAGGGAATGGGAGGGCCACAGGGAATGGGAGGGCCACAGAGAATGGGAGGGCCTCAGGGAAGGGGTGGGCAGCAGGGAAGGTGCGGGCAGCAGGGAATGGGCGGGCAGCAGGGAATGGGCGGGCAGCAGGGAATGGGAGGGTTGTTACAAAGGCAATTTAGTAACAGTGGTATCGATCAACGGTGGGGATTGTATGGGATGCCAATGCAGGAGAGCTCAGGAGGCATCCTAAACCGTTGGAGCCATGTAGGTATGCCACAGCAGAGTCGGGTGGACGGGTTGGTGACTGGAGTTCGTACTTGGTCAACAGAAGAGGGTGGAGCTGAGAACGGTGATGGCAATAATCAGCAGTATTAGGAGTGCATTATGTCTTTTATTAAATAGAAGGATTGTGACCATAGCGTGGGTGTGGCGAACCTCAAGCATGCGTCCCACAGATCCTCCTCTTGTAGGTTTACATATCTATATAACCATCAGCACAATTAGTCAAGTATACACTTGCTAGGTTCACATTAAATTGTGTGTGAGACTTTACTTGTCCATTGGTGAATATGAATAAACTCACATTCCACCCTGTAAATCAGATAGGCTGGTTTCGTTCGTAACATGCTACGCTGGATATTCTATTTCACGCACAAAAAGAGAGCATACAGCCCCTAAACTCATCAGTAGCAAGAGTCCATAACACAAGGTGTCTCATCCCGCATATAGTGCACCTGTAATAAA